TAAATTTTTGTATGAGAAATTAAGTTGAATTGTAAACTTTCACTTAAAGCACAATAAAAAAAGAATATATATAATCACTGCTACCATTGAAAATAAATGGTTTCATACTGATATACATTAAAGAGGGGAGAGTTAGCTGTAGACAGTATAGTTTAGAGTGGACTGAGGAAAACACTAGTCTGATAATTTCCATCATATTACAGGAATAATGAACTGGGGATTCAAGGGAAGGTATTCGTCTCCAACACCATCCCGTAAGTCCTCAACCCTCTAAATATTTGTAGATCTAGATGGCAGCTACAGGAAAAGCCAAGCTTTGGAACATTTAGGGTGATTCATGGCTGTGAATAAACAAATAACAAATCTTTAAAAAATCAACAAAGATGAAATGTTTTGTCAACCAACAATTTCCAGTAATGGTAAGCAAATAATTTGGACCACCTTCCCAGGGAAATCAACAAAAAGTTTATTGATAAAACATCTTTAAAAATCTTTAAAAGCATTCAAGGGCTCACAAGATGGTAGCCATAGTTTTCTCCTGTTGTATTTGGCTGGATGAGAGTGATTACTGTCCGTTTTCTGTCTTTCCTAGCCCTTTGGCTAGAGAGAGAAGCCTTTTCTTGTCTACACCCATTGGTGTTTCCAGATTGCCAGCTTCTTCTGCTCCTAGTCTTGGATATATGAGACCCAAAAAAAAAAAAAAAAAAAAAGCCCAGGGAACTCAGCACCATGTTGTTCGTTGGGTCTAAAGATCTCTAGCCATTCTGCCTGCTTCTCTCTACCTTTCAGCAGCTTCTTACTTTTGTTTTACATATAATTTCCAAAATTTATAAGACAAATAGTGAAAATTATATATACTCCATTTTCCCAGATGTAGTCTCTCTTTTTTCATTTAAAATCAAGACGTTTAAAAGGATGGGAAGGTCTAAAAGTAGTCCAATAATTGAAAAAGTTGGAAGACAGCCCCGGAAAGGCATAACACAAAGAATCATTCTATAAACCATAATAAGCAAAATCATCAAATTTAAATCCACAGGATCAATAAGTTTTATCCTATTTAAGTATAGTGCAGTGATCAGTTTTCTAAATCATTATAAAAAATTAAATGTTTTATCTGCTTGTATAGGTTTTAAAGCATTTAATTGAAATAAGATGTAAGAACTTTTTAGCATACTCTTTTGAAATATTTAAGTCTAAAATCAATATTTGTAGCAGGTGACTTCGGTGCCCTTCATCACTCCTCAGCTCATCTCTGATGTCAGCCACAGCTACAGTGCAATGCTTTCTGAGCTAGACTTATCTCCCAGTAGCACTCATCTCCAACATGTGCTGCACATATTTTTGCCTCAGGGTCCTCTCTGAAACCCATTTGTCATGCACTAGATCAAAATTCAGAAATACAAGAAAAGTAAAATCCCTTAGGGGCAATCCTCAACTGACGACAGATGAGAGCTAATGAATAAATTCTCCAGCCTCCTGCATTTCACGTAGACAATGATAGGAGGAAATGAGCCCCTGTGGCTGACAGTGATAGCCTTGATAACACTCACTTACATTGGCTTTGTCTCCTTCCATATCCCACCTGGCTGCTAACCTAAACGTTGGCGATTCAAACCCACCCATGAGCTCCACAGGAGAAAGACCTGGTGATCTGCTCTCATAAAGATCACAGCCTAGAAAACCCTATGGGGTAGTTATACTCTGTCACCTAGAGTCACTCTGAGTGGAAATCAACTCGACGGCACCCAACGACAGCAACATCCCACTCTCGTTTTACCATGCCTGCTCCCTGTAATCACTTCCCAAATTACATACTTACACCCAAGTCCTTTATTTAGGTTCTGCTTTCAGAAGAACCCAAACTAAGGCAAGGTTTAAACAGAGACATAAATTTTATTAAACCCATTATATTGATTTTTCAGTTTTATGAATAGTGTGGAAATACTTTTAAAACGTTGTTTATAATATTTAAAAGCTAATTGTCAGATAAAGCCGTAAGTTAATAAATTAGGCAATGAACTGAATATAAATGGGTATTAAAGAGCATACATGCTTTGTTGTGAGGTAGTCATTCATGTGTCTCTCATGTTTCTGCACATCTTGCAAGCAGAGGCACGGACAGGTTTTCTTTTGTGCCATCTTTTCAAGGATATTTGTACAGCAAACAGCCTGGGAAGATACAGTGTTCCCCTCTGGAGCAGAGGGCAGGCTTCTTTGCTGTTCATTGTACTAAAGATAACATCTCACTCCTGAACAAAGGTTGGGCAGGTTTGCTAGTGGCCCATTATAAAAAATTGGGATTCTTTAACCTTGAGGTTCCCCATATGTGGTATAACCCCACTGTATGTACATCATCCACTTGGGCCACTTCGTGTTGCTCTGATGGGACTTGGGAACCCAGGGAACTGACATAAACATGAAACTGACATAAACATGAAACTCATGCTTCTTGCTTTGTAACTGGCCCAGGAGTCTTGTGTCTTCTGCCAGTATTTACGAAACTGTGATAGGTTGACTAGTTAGCTTTAAGTATGATAAAATCTCAGATTCTTCACAGTCCTTAACAAACTTCTTACCAAAGTACTATCATGAATACATGATCAAAGATTGTCATAAAGGGAAACTGTAGGGATCTTGACTATATGGACTCTCATAAGATACTACTAAGACATAAAAGGGTCCTCAAAAGAGCCATGCTAGGGCAGACCCCCAGAGGAATCCAGTGGCTACAAATAAAGTATAAACACAAACATAATTGCCACAGTGGAGATTAGAAACATAAAAATATGCCATTCAAAACCAAAACAATACACCAGGACTACATGATTTTGCAATTAAGTTCCATATAACCTTAAAAAAATAATTATTGTAATGCTATTTTAATTATTCCAGCCTAACTAAAAGATGAAAAGATCCTCAACTATTTTAAAAGCTAGCATTAAAACAAAAAAAATTAAAAAAATAAACTCACTTATGACAACAGACTTTAAACATCAGCAAACAGAATCTTATATTGTATATTAAAAAATTAGTAAACCGTAGACAACTGTAGTTAACTTTGGAATAGGTCAACACCAGGAAATGTATCAACATAGCTCATAACATGAACAAGAAAGAAAACCACGACTACACCAAGATAAAATCCAATCAGCATTTATAATAAGAAAGTGAAATACAGAAGGAATCTATTTAGATATGAAAATTACCCCCACAAAAGAAAACAGTCCTCTAAATGCTGAAACACTGAAGCAATTTCCATTAAATCAAGAAAAATCGAGAGCTCCACTGAACCTCAGAACTTGCTGGAAAGCCACTCAAAAGGATGTCAGGGGAAGCTGCTGGAAGCTGCTGGCTATTGCATGCTGCAGAAGCCAGGTGCTGGAGAAGCTGCATGCACTGCAGGAGTCTGAAAAGAGGAGTGCAAAAAAAAAAAAAAAACAGGAAGAGGAAAACCCCCTCCTCCCCCAGTGTCACTCCAGTGCTCTCTACTGACAAAGCTTTAACATCATGCCAGCTATCAAAAAAGGAGTATTACAGAGTTCAGTCCCATTATTACAGAGCAGGCAGTGAAGTGTTGGGAGCTGAAAGGCAGTAAGTTGATAACTGGCATCATGTTTGTAAATTCCTAGAATATTTTCAAAATAAATAACTGAAAGTACGTCAATGTGGACCAATGAAGAGAATTTGTCATGATATAAGAATTTTGATTAATTCACTGTTGTCCAAAGGACAACGTGGAATATCAGGAATACTCAAGGAGACTACAAAAGAAACTGGTAGCAACAGTTGCCCCTGTGGAGGGCAATAGGTGACTATAGGACTGGATGTTAGGGGAGATTTACTTTACACGTTACTTTTCTGTAATTTTTCAATTTTGTCACATGTACTTTTATTATCTAAACAAAAAATAAAAACATCCTTGAAAGATTAATGTAATATCAAAACATACACACATGCACATACAATCCAGATACTCTTTGACCCAGGAATCTGTTGGGTATCTACCTGACAGAAATAAAAGAATGACCACATAAGGATATTTATGGCATGATAGTTTCCGGTGAAAAGGAAATAGAAACTACTTGAATGTCTACAGTAGAAAATGGCTCAAAATACTAACATATATTTCATACTAGAGCTTTATATTCTGACTATAATGAATTTTTAAAGCTTTAAAAAGAATGAGTTAAATCTATATTGACCTGGAAAATGTCTGTGATTATTTATTAAGTGAAAAAGGCAAGTTGCAGTGAAATATGTCATGATAGGAGGTAAACCTCCTCCACACACATGCAACAAACCCTTCATATGTGCAGGTATGTTTCAGCATGAAGAAAGAAGCAACACAGATATTGATTACCTCAGGGATTTCTGGGAGAAGAGATTGTTTTCATTTTATTTCTGCCATACTTCATTGGTTGCAGTGAAAACGTGTTAGATAATTCTAGAAAATTTTATTTACAACAGTTCTTATTACATTAACTTAGAAACCGTGTTAAAACCACACCTAATTTAGTAACTTTTCCATTTTCCCACTTGAAATAGAACATTCAATTTTTCAAGGATTACTGAAATAAATCAATACTAATAAAACTCAGTATCTTATCAAGTTTTTCCTTAAAAAGAAGAAAAACTGTATCTCCAAGAATATATTCATGGCACTAGACCACAACGGGGAGGGAGGAGAGAAAACTTTATTGGCTTCTCACCAGGATGAAGTGTCTGGTGTGGATTATGTTGTGAGCCACGATTAAAGGGCTTCCCACATTCATATGGTTTCTTCCTAGAATGAATTATCTGATGGTGTGAGAAACTTGATTGATAGCTGAAGGCCTTCCCACATTCCCTACATTCATAGGGTTTCTCACCAGTATGAATCCTCTGATGTTGAATAAGGTGTGAATGAAGCCTAAAGGCCTTACCACATATCATACATTCATGAGGTTTCTCACCAGTATGAATTCTCTGATGTCTTTTAAGATGTGAGCACTGTCTAAAAGTCTTTCCACATTCCTTACACTCATAGGGCTTCTCACCAGTATGAATCCTCCGATGTAGATTAAGTTGTAAGCCATCACAAAAGGCCTTCCCACATTCATTGCATTCATAAGGTTTCTTGCCAGAATGGATTTTCTGATGGTGAGAGAAGCTTGAGTGATAGCTAAAGGCCTTCCCACATTCCTTACATTCATAGGGTTTCTCACCAGTATGAATCCTCTGATGTATGGTAAGGTGTGAGCGATGCCTGAAAGTCTTTCCACATTGCTTACATTCATAGGGTTTCTCACCAGTATGGAGTCTAAGATGTTCAGTAAGTTGAAAGCCACGAATAAAAGCCTTCCCACATTGCTTACATTCATAGGGTTTCTCACCAGTATGAAGTCTCTGATGTTGAGTAAGTTGTGAACGCTGTCTAAAGGCCTTTCCACATTCCTTACATTCATAAGGTTTCTCACCAGTGTGAATTCTCTGATGTAGAGTGTGTTCTGAGCCGTAATTAAAGGCCTTCCCACATTCTTTACATTCATAGCGCTTTTCACAGTTATTAATTCTTAGATGTTGTTTAAATTGTGAGCAATGAATAAAGGCCTTCCAACACTCCTTATATTCATTGTATTTGTCATTATTTTGAGTTCTCCATTGTTTAACAAGGTATGATGTATTAACTATTTCTGTGCATTCTTTACATTCATAAAGTTTTGCTTTAGAGTGAGTTATTTTGTGGTGACTAAAGAATAAATGGCAACTGAAGTTTTCTCTACATTGCTTACATTCAGAGATTTTCACTCTATTAAAAAATTCCTGAGTGAGTAAAGTATGTGGGCTAAAGATGGACATGTTTTCATGGTTGATCATAAATTGCCTGAAACAGCCCTCCTGTTGTCCCTGTTGTCTCTCAAAATGACTTTTGCATTCCCAAATATCTCTGAAAATCGATCTCTCAGGACTAAGGTTTTTAAGTTGTTCCATAATAGCCCATTGGGATGATACTGTTTCATAAATGTCCCTTTTTGGAGATAACTTCTTGGGCTCACACCTGGATACCAAGTCTGAAAGATAAGAAACAAATTTTAATTACTGGTTTTCTATTATAAGAGAAATAAAATATCTACGGTAGAAATGAGAGATAACTGAAAATAATTCACATATGAAATGAAAGGTTTGGAGAGGTCTTACAGATTGTCATGTATTTGAAAGAATAAAGGCTAGAAAGAACACAGAAACGAAAGCTCATGAAAGAAACTGAGGAGGTTAATTATGGAAACAAGCTAGGTCAATGGTTCTGAAATTTTGATCAACCTCAGAATCATTTTGGGAACTTGTTGCAATTATGGATGTTTTTGAAACACCCTAGATAAAATGAATAAAAAATCTACAAGAATCAGTCTTAAAATGAGATCAAATGAATCAGAATCTACAAGAGTCTATGTTTAACACTCTCCATCAGGTCAAAGGCTTATATGTCAGAGACTGCTAGTTATCCCCAAATATCTATTCTTCCCTTTTCGTATATTGACAGAACCTTTGGTTTTTACAAGGCTACCCAATATAAACAGTGCATTTCCAAGGCTTCTTTGCAGCTGGGTATGCCTTATAACTGGGTTCTACCTAAACAAATGTAGAAGTATTATGTAGTAGCTTCTGGGAACTTTCCTTAAGATCCAACTGGCCCATGCCTTATAGCCTTTATTCTCTCCCTCTTCCTCAGCAATGCTGGTTGCAATGTGGATGTGGTGTCATATCTGGCACATGATTTTGTATAACAGAGTTGCCATTCCAGCCTGGACTTTAAGGCAGGAGAAAATTAAATTTCTGCATAGTTTAAACTACTATGTTATTTTGGGTCTCTGTCACATGCAGCTAAACCTACACCCAAACTAATACAGTTTTCCATTGAACTGAAATTTTAAAAATATAACTCATTACCATGAGAATACAAGGTTTCTGCTTACCTATAAGACCTCATTTTGAGTCTGTTTCCCTTTTACTCATTATGCTACAACCACACTAACTTCCTTTCAACAACTATCTTATAGCTTTTCACAGCCTATTCCATCTGCCAGGAATCCTCTCAACTAGATTCTTTGTATGGCTGGCTCCTCTTCATCCAAGTCCCAGGTTAAAAGTCATTTCCTCAAAAGGGTATTCCAGATAATATCTAATTAAATCCTTGCTTTAAGTACTATTAGAATTACATATTAATTTATTTATTCATCTTTTTAATCTGTTTATCTTCTTACTCCTAAAGCTACTCAAGAATAGAAAAACCATTGTATGACCAATTTCTAAAAGATAATAGCTATTCAATAATCAATTGCTGAATAAATTAATTAAATGATTAAAGAAAAGGAATTAAGATGAGAATAAAAATAAATTATATAAATGTAACTGTTGAGAATCATAATCACTTAAAGTCCTTAAATTTGTAATAACTACTGAACATGTCTTCATGATTCCATTCACTCCTGCCTCTACTGCAGTGATTTTATATGTAAATGCATATATACATGAACACACACTTGGTTATAACAAACTACCCTAACAGTAACAATCATTATTATTATTATTATCTCTCAGATCTGGGAACTAACTTCTCAGCCAGGCATTCTGCACTCCAAGTTTCTACACTTGTTTTCAGACAGTGTTTGAGCTAGAGTCACAGCTTCCTCACCCACATGTATGGAGCCTGGGCTGAGATTTGAACAGCTGGGGATTAGAACAGCTGGGACTCCTGGGTCTATGTTATCTCTCCAGCATAGATGTTTCAAGGTAGTATGTGCCTCTTACATGAAGCTCAAGGTTCCAAAAGTATGTGTCTCGAGAAAAAGAGAGAGAAAACAAGCAAAAGCAAGCCAGGCAGAAGCGGTATCTACTTTTATGACCAAGCCACACAAGTCATGCAGAGGCACTTCTGCCATATTCTATTTGTTAGAAGCAAGTCACTGAGGCTGGCCCATTTTCAAGGGGAGGAGAGTTAGACTCCATTTTTTGATGGGAGGACTGTCAAAGAATTTGCACACGTTTTTAAACTACAATAAAACACACACGTACATATATAAAAACACACTTTCCTACATCACTTACAGAAGACTTTTTTACTAAGTAAACACACACGACACCACCACTTCATCAAGAAATAGAACATTACCAGCAACCCTGTAGTCTCCCTCAAGCCTCTACACAGTCACACTCATCCACCAAAGGTAAGCACTATCCTGACTTCTTACACTACAGACTGATTTTATCTGTTTTTAAACTTCAGATAATTGGAATCATATGGTATGTAATTTTTTCCTCCAACTTTTTTCACTCAATTTTACATATACAAAAAACCAAACCAGTTGCCGTGGAGTCAGTTCTGACTCATGGCAGCCTCATGTGTTTCAGAGCAAAACTGCATAGGGTTGTCAATGGCTCTGACCTTTTGGAAGTAGATCACCAGGCCTTTCTTCCAAAGTACCTCGGGGTGTATTTGAACTGCAAACATTTTAGTTGCTGAGCACTTAATTGTTTGTGCTACCCGAGGACTCCCTAATATTGCAAATAAAAAAAAAAATCTGTTGCTGCTGAGTCAATTCTGACTCATAGCGACCCTATAGGACAGAGTAGAACTGCACCATAGGGTTTCCAAGTGGATTTGAACTGCCCACCTTTTGGATTGAAGCTGAGCTCTTAACCACTGCACCACCAGGGATCCAATATACATATAGCAGTAGTTTATTCATTTCTCTTGCAGTATATGAATAGTACTCAAAAAGTGGTACAGGGACTCCTGAGGGTGCCCAAGACCCTTTCAGGAGGCCTGTAAAGTCAAAACTATCTTCATAATAATACTAAGACATCTTTTGCATTCTTCACTCATTTTTTTCCAATAGCTTACAGTGTGGAGTTTTCTAGAGGCTACTGTGATAACATCATGTCTGAAATCTAACAGAATGTGTGACTGTATATTTTTCTGTGTTCTAGAATTTTCTAAAGTAGTAGGTTTAGGATATAAACATGTACACTTTTCAGAGATTAACTCAGTCCGCTGAATTTGGTGTTTTGTTTGTATTAATCCAATATTGGTACCAACTAATTGTTAAAGAAGATCCTCTTGTATGTGAATGCTTGGTAACAAACATGGTATTAAAATATTCCAAGTAAATAACTTTTTTTAATCTCATGATTTTTCCTGGATAACTGTATTATTTGCAGTGATGGTACAAAAGAAATGGTGAGAAAAACTGCTGGTATCTTAGCTCAAATAAAAGCACTGGTGCCAAACTGTACTAGTAATCACTGTGTCCTTCACTTCCATGTCTCATGATAAAAAAGTGCCAGTTTTACTTAAAATGTCTATGACAAAGCAGTAAAAATCATTAGTTTTATTAACATCATCTTCAGTATACATCTTTTTAATATTCTGTGTGACAAAATGGGCTTCTGATGTATACCGAAGTAGATTGGTTATTTCAAGGAAAAACATGTATTTGATTGTTGTGAAAGAGCATTCCAAAACTAAGGCATCTGACATGCCTGAGGCTTCTGACTGAAGTGTAGTCTTGACTCCATTTTGGCAACTTGACTATTTCTCAGAAGTTACATCTGCTTTGCAGTTCTTGGAAAGCACGCATGAAAAATCAAAATTGTGATAGATTTTTTTTTCTTTTTCTTTTTGCATGTTCCAGGAAACACGGCTGAACTGTGGTCAGCTAGTTTCTAAAGATAATCTTATGGTTAAACTTCAACCAATGAGACTTATTCATAAATTACTTTTGTAAATGTCAACCAATCAAATGCTTGCATAGCAGTTTCTGGCTCCCTTTGTGGTTTTGCCCTATAAAAGGGCTCCCTAGTACCCCTGGACTTTGGAATGCTTAGCATTTTGGCTTTGTATTTCCCAATTTGAATCGTCTTATTCCTCAATAAAACACTTTACTTTTTCCTTGCCAAACTCAGTGAATTTACTCTTTGACATTTCTTGGTGTCAGACATCATGGGATCTGAAGAATTTTGCCTCTGACGACTCCCTTGGAAGTTCAGGAATTCGGGCTTTTGGTACCAAGTGGAGACTTTTGTGCTGTCTCCTCGGACCTCCTTGGGAAGTTGCCCCAGGTAATTCCTCTCAGATTCAAGCTCTGCTTCCTTGTGTAGAGCTATCCGAGTCTTACTGAGTATCTTTTTTACTTTTGTCTGCGTGCAAGTTCAGGTTCAGGTTTTTTCTGCTTGCAAGTTCGGGTTAAGGTTTGTTTGACCTAGGTCTTTTGGTGCACAATTTGGCATTGCAGGGGTTACTGTAAGGAATCTCAGAGTCACTACTTTGATTCTGAGAAACCAAAAATAACACTCTTGCAGCCGTTTTCTTCCTCTTGACTCTTCGAGTGCACGTTTGTTTCTTCTTGCAAGAAAATGGGCAATGACAAATTTGAAAATACAAACCTCCCTTCTGGGACGCCCACTCATTGTATAAATAAGCATTTTGTCCCATAACATGCTTATTCTGAAGTAATTGGCATAACCTTACCAGGAACAGTTAGAAAAGATGTGGCCACTTTGGAGCTCTTTTGATCTGCAGCAAATTAGCTGTGTTACTACCTGTTGAAGTCAGTAATTTGGTTTAGTTTCATTTTCATAGGTAAAAAAATAAAGGCTCCTAGAGAAAACAACCAGAATAGGATGCCTATTTTAATTAATACATTGAAGCTTCTAAAAGACATGAAGACATTTTAAAAAATCAAGGTATTTCCAATTAGAGGAACTAATATATTTAAGATTTAATAAGACACTAGGTCTCTAGCCGGCAGAATGAATTAGGTTCAGAAAGAATAAAACAAGTTCTCATATGGTTGTTAGGAAGAAATCCCAGAGTCTTTATTTGACTCTCAGAAACCAAAAGTTTTAACCTAAGAGCTTAACATCCTTGATAAATAAGCCTGGATTTCCCCCTTACCGGGATGCTGGTTTGGGGTTCATGTCCAAAAACATTATAAGCTGAATATATATTCAAAGTACTTTAGAATTTCATTGATCACTTTGAGAAAATTAGATCCATTTGCATTTTTTGATAACTTTTGTTTATTGCTCAGTTTTAGTCAAAGGGTCTGCATAAAATCCCTCCATCTGAGATTCTGACAAGTGAATGAGCTTATCTACGACCTGTTTTTCTGTTGATTTAAGTTGATCTCATCCTAGAATTACTTCATACTTTTTAAGAAACTAGGTTTCCCATACGTTTGTCTTATGTGATATTGAATATAAGTCTAGGATTTGAGCAGGCCTCACAGATCAGTGAATTTACGTGGTTTTTCTGTCTCATTTTGTGTCTGAGTCACTATTTTATCTCAGGAAGCTGTTTTTCTTTTCCTCTCATGAAGCAGTCTTTTAAATAAATAACTTTTAAATAAAGACTGCTTCTTGTGAGTTGAGCTTTCAGTGGCTACATTGAGAAATTTCTATAGAAATTGATCTATTTGAAAGGTACACTGTAAAAAATGGATTTTAATTAATATAATGAGGCTTTAAAAAGAACAAATTATTCTAAATTATTTTTATAAAGGATCCCATAAAATGTGGAAAAGACAAGGTTATGAAAATTTAATCATTTCCTACCTCCAGATGGTGTTCTTAAATTAGATTATAAATATTTCTTCAAATAACTTACTCTGATTGGTTTAATGATAAATAAGTGCTTATATAAATCAAACAGTCCTAATACTCCCAGGAATTAATGAAAATGATTTCATTCTGACCAAAGTCTTTAGTTTATGTCAACTTTGAAAACAAAATCTTAAAAGCAAAACCTTTCTAAGTAACAAGCTAGATATATGAAATATATTTTATTTAGAGAAAAATAGATAAGATAAATAATGTAGATATCAATGAGGCCTAAATTAAAATTGTCTTAATACAGTTACTAGAAATTAAGTAAATTCCCAACATAAAAAAAAACTATGAACAAAACCAAGATTAGACCAAGAAAATACAAAAAGTAGTAAACATTTAATAGAAATATAGACTATTTAAACAAACTTTACACCAACAGTAATTAGATTTTGTAGTATATAGACTTGGAGCCCTGGTGGTGCAGTGGTTAAGAGCTCGGCTGCTAACAAAAAGGTATGCAGTTCAAATCTACCAACTGCTCCTTGGAAACCCTATGGGGCAGTTCTACTCTGTCCTATAGGGTTGCTATGAGTCAGAATCAACTCGACAGCAATGGGTTTAGTATATAGACTTAAATTAATTTCCAAGATGTTTAAGTAACTTACTGATATTAAATTGAGTTAATGGATATTCATTATAATTAGATTTCATAGGCTCTTACTTTTTACACCACAGATAAATAATGTATTCATTTTTTACCACTTAAAGAGTGGTTAAAAAAAAAGTCAATAAACTTAAAATTAACTCTATTTGACTTTACATTACTTGTGTAATTAATTACCATCAGGTCTTTCACTTTTAAAAATTGTTACCAGTTTTCCATGGCCA